GGCCCAGCCCCTCCGGCCTCCGTCCGCGCCAAAAAAGGCCCGGGCGGCGATCGCTCCCAGCTCGGGTCGTCCCGGGCCGTCGGCCGGGAGGGGATCCCAGCCCCCAGCAGGCAGCCTCCTCCCACGCCTGGCTTCTCACTTCCGCCCGCAGGACCCCAGCCGCCCGGCTCCGGCTTTCGCGGAGGGTAGTAGGTGGCAGGCCTCGGCGGCGGGCCTCGGGAAGGCGCGTCCCCGCGGCCGCCCCCGCGCGCCGGGCGCAGAGACCCTGCCGCCCGCCGGATCTGCGGCTATGCTCCGGGCGCGCGGGAGGCGGGATGAAGCCGGTTGCCTTTTCTTCCAAGGCGCCTTACCAGCGGGAAGGGAAAAGGAAAAGAAACGGGCGTGGGAGGAAAGGGATGAAATAAGTCGGGGTCCAGGAGTCAAAAAGACATCACATCTGGGATCGCCAGTCCTGTCGAGTCCGGCATCGTGTCCCGGGGGGGCCGAGGCACACGGGCCGTCTCTGAGCGTTGTAGGTGGCACCTCGAGCTGATTCTTCGGAATGGTCATCGCGTAGGAGCCATCTTGCAGGAAGAAGGGCCAGCCAGATGGTAGCAGGTTCTGCAGGTCTCGGCGCACGGGGTGCCCCCGATAGAAAGGGCTGGGAAGCAGAGGAGCTTGTATTTGCCGCTGGGCTTGTTCTCTTTATGCTATTAAAAGAAAGAAGTACAACTCAACTAAAGTTAGATCACGTGCCTTTTAAATGTTTTCTCACAGCCACTGCATTCCCAATTTCAGTTTGGTTGGACTAGCCATCACGGAATGTTACCTCTGGGCAAAAGGTCTGGCCGCTTTTGCTCATATTTGCCTGCAGAGGTGGCTTTTCTCGCCACCCTCTTACCCCTGCCCCTGCAGTCTGAGGGCTTCATAAGGAAGGATATTTCTTCCCCATCTTCTTACACCGAACATTGCAAATAGAAAGCTCACTCCAAATAATAAGGATCTTGTGCTGCTCGTGAGCTATGAATTAATCCTCAAAAGGGGGAGTAGGCGGTAATTGTTAGGTTACCATTGAGTAGAAGAAGGGATAGTATTGGGAGGGAGCAGTGTGTGTGTGTGTGTTCACCCTTATCTTAACCAAAAACCGCTTGGAAACCTTCTCAGACCAGAGACTGAGAACCAAATAGTAGTCCTCTACCTGGGGAGAGAATATGTATTTGGATTTTTTTTTTTTTAACAAGTTTTAGCTTTCTTCATGAATGACAAGTTGTTAAATAGTAACTTCTTCATAAGTACGTTGCCCGGTATTTCAAACAAATGATACCTCCTACAAAGCTAATTAACATTTTATGTTAGGAAGGGGAAGGGTTAAAAAACAGAGAAGAAAGTCATGTCGTAAAACATGAAATTCTTTCAACACATTGTTCTGTTACATTTGCACTTCTTTCTGTGTAACTAACAGCTTCACAGTGAGGTGTTGTCATCCCTTATTTTCTTCATAATACACCATGAACAAGAAACTAAAATTTTGAAGACATAGAAAAAAATTCTATTAGATTCTGGCCTCCCTGGGAAAAGTGAAGGAAACAAAGATGGACCTATGACTTGCCTCTTTCAAGATATTTTCTTGGATCCTGGGAAAAACGTCTAGATTTCACCTTGTTTCACCTGGCCTTTAAATCCTTACTGATAAAATTCAGTTCTCACCTGGCCCTTTCACACTTCTGTTCTCAATGAGCATGTAGTGGAGATATCTAAGGTTCTTCGGGGGTAGGTGGTCATGAATTTAGCATCCTCTAATGTTCCACGTCCAGTATTAGGCATTTAGCTGGGGAAATTTTGCTGGAAGTTGCCCCCTGTGTCAGAGTCTTGGACCTGGGATTTATTTGTCCCTCCATCAGCAACAGTGCCAGATTCAGTGGGGCAGCGAAGAACAGGCTCTTAGTCTCTCCTGGGTCCCTTTAGAATCTTTCACCAATGGATGCTTTTGTTTCCCAGCCATCATAGATATGCCTCAGACTGGTATTTTCTTGCTTTTTAAAAACAGACCAAAAAAAAAAAAAAAAAAATCATGTGCATTAGAAAGGCAGTTCACGGACAGTAATATTATCGGAGCAGATCTTGGGCAGGTAATCTGGGGTGTCAGCTTGTCAGTACTGGGCACTGATCCTGTAAGCTCTTTGGCCCCTGACATAAGGTCATTTAGAATTGAAAGCCTCTTAAAGATCAAGTCATTTTAATAACTCACAAAGTAAGTTTTCTGTTAAGCTAGAAATGCAAAGTCAAAGCAAGATAAACTTTATTTACAAAAGACCTAAAATTATTTTTAAGCTTCATGAAAATGTTGCTTGTCTATAGCTGGAGGTATACTTTTATAGTTATCCACTGATTAATGAATAATAAAGAGTGGCCTTTGTGGCACCATGATTCACTTCAAACACATCATGATCTGTTTTACAAAAGCCTAAAGTAATGGTCAAACACAGAGTTAGGCTATTTCTTCAAGAATTTTTATGGAAGGTATACCTTTTGACCTAGAATGGAAAAAAATCAAAGTACAAGATGTTTGTCACAGTGTTGCTTTGAATAATAAAAAGTTTGAAAAACATTGTATAATGTTAGGAGTAGCTAACATTTATTGAAAGTTTATTACATGTTGTAAATGCTCTCCGTAGATTATAATCTGTTTTAATACTCTTTTACAACTAAGGCTCAGAGTAAATTTTGGTACATGGGTAGAATGAAATACCATAGAGCTATTACAATTTTAGACGTAGAGCTTTCTTGAGAGACACTGAACATGTAATTTTACACTGAATTTTTAAAAAACAGTTTCTGAAACAGTGTGAATCCATTTTTGTAAAATTGTATATAAGTATCTATTTTTTGAATGGAGATGTCTGGAAGGATGTTTACCAAAATGTTAACATTGTAAGATATTGGATGGTTATTATTTCTTATTGTACTGTTCAGTATGGTTTGGGTTTTTTAAGTGAATGCATGTCAATTTAATAATTAATGATATATTCCAATTTCTCAGGCCCCATTTTACAAAATGATTTCCACCAACTTTATGAACTGATGAAATGAAAATGTTAAGTAAATACTACAATTAGCATCTTTAAAACAAGGATGACATATTGACTTTTTTTTTAATCTTTTGAACTTAGGAAACCTATGCGATTACTTCACTACCACTTAAAAATTGTTTACCTCTATTTTTTAGTACCTCCAATACTTCTAAATCAACTTTGTTTCTTTTTTGTTTTTTTAATAAGCAAAACTGAAATATCTTGCTTTCATTAAAGCATGGGGGGCAATTTAAATGAGTTTAAAGTAGCACAGTTCTTAAAATGATTCTATTTAATTCAGGCTGAGCATTTCATGTAGGCAAAACTTTCACTTATTTCAGTCACCTATTTCAGTGTTTTCCAAACATCTTAGGAAATCACCTGAGACACTTTTTATAAAAATAAGAATTCTGGTTCCCGCACCAGAACTACTGAATCAGGCTCATGCGGGGATGTTTCTGCTCCACATCTCAGTTGGTTGAAGTTTCCTCGCTCTGTCCCTGCTGTTCAGTTTTTAATCTCTCCTTTTCAAAATACCCAGCTCCAAGAAGTTACCTGTTTCCAGACTCAATGTTTATCAATCACCCCAAAATTTATTTTAAAAACTTTAGAGCCTGCTTTTACATTGGAACTTGTAGATTCTTTAAAATGCAACTTTGGTCTCCCCTTGAACATCATCTGACAGCAAAAGGATTAAACAACTGTGGATTGTTCCATTATCCCTGCAGGGAACATGAGAACTTCAAGGAATTATATATCACAGGAAAGAAACCACATTTAATGCGACTGAAAGATGTGGCGGTTAGAAGGTTAGAAAGTTGACTTTCTGGTTTATGTCCCCAGGGCATGAACTAATCAAAATAGCTATGGAACCTCATGGCAAAACAGGGAGTACTCTTTTGTTCCTCATCTGTCTCCTGTTTTGCCTTTAGGAAACCTCTCTTCCCTCTTTCCTCCGAACGGATGAAACAGTCAGATTGCTTGCAGCTAAGCAACTGAAACTTGCTTTCTAAGAGAAGTTCATTAGAATAAAATATTTTTTATTTTTAGTGCATTTTATGTGGCTTATGGAAGGTTAGGTGTTAGTCCATGATATAATTTTTGTTCAGAAGAAAGTGAAATTTTTTTAAAGTTATTCTGTCTTTTGACTGTCATCCTCTTTATTATCAATCTCGTTAATACTATGCTTCTAAAAATCAAAAGATATGATTATTAAACTTATTAGTAGGTGAAGAGATGAAAGTTCAAAGAATGTGAACATTTTTGTGTCAAGTAAGTGAGTGTGCAAAAAAGTATACGAGAAACAGATCACAAGAGAGAAAAAGTCTCCTATGGTACTTTATGCCCCAAACTAATTACCACTAATGCTTTGTATAAAAATGGTCACAAAAAAGCAACAGTTCCATGCTTTGAACTAATTTCATCTTGGAATGTATCGGATATGGAACACACAGTCTTCACAAAGGAAGCCATTTTCTTTAATATTTTTTTCAAATGTTTTGGCATTGCAGTGGAAGTAACTTTATTAATATGTAGAAATTTAAAACTATTTCCCTAATGCACATTTCTTGTAACTACATCTGCTTCAGAGATGCCTTTATGTGTGTGCTTCCCAAAGACTTCTTTGTAACTTGAAAACATAAATATCAGAAAACAGATTAGGCAACCCCCAGTTTGAACTTCATCACAATTTTCAATTATGCTTTTTAGTCTCGATTGAACAAAATACACTTTAATGGGTGTTGTGCTCCATCTACATCATAAGGATATTCTTTTGGCTGGATCTTTAATCTTCTTTTTAAAAAGCTTGCAGCTGGCCTTTGCAAAAAATGCCTGGCACCAAGAAGTGACCAGGATTCATATTCAGTGTTTTCAAAATCACTGCAGAATTTAAATATTTTATTTCATTTTCAGTTTTCATTTACTTTTGATTTTTTTTTTTTTTTTTTTTTGGTAAAAACAAAGAATTTAAACCCATGCTCAAACTAGTTTTCTAGTGAACCTGAATTAGAACTTCAAATCAAAGAAAATAAGATAATTGAAAAAAAAAACCCTGCAGTCACAAGTTTCTTAAAAAACTTTATAGAAGTGTCCTGACAAAATGATGTCTTGTTTCTGGTGAAATGGATCCTTCCTTGATCTGACACCAAGTGACTAAACTATTGTTTTCCTCAGAAAGACTCTTGGCTAGGATTTCAACTTGCCTTTATATTTACTTAGTAAAAGGTGTCTGTGACTTCACTTTCACAGAAAGAATAAAAGCAGAGGAAAGAATCTACGTCTTCCAAAGGCTAAAAGACAGAGTATTGAAATGGCCTGGAAAGCGTTCAGCATTAACAGCAGCAAGTCAAATGTTCACCTGGGGTGCAACTGGGAAGAAACAAAAGAAAAATCAACGTGCAGTCAAAGAGCCGCTTCATTTTTCTAGAAAGTGACCCTTCACAGAGTTCCAAGGGAGCCTTCTCCCTTAGCAACAGCCCTGAAGTTCCAGAAACCATTCTAAACCCTGATGGTCAGCTTCAGCGTCTGTCTGGTCATCAGACTTATTGCCGAGTCTTCATCCCAGGGAAATGCATGTGGTGGTCGTGGCCGCAGACGTGATTTTGCTCTTAAGCATGGGGTGGACCTCAGACTCTCTCTGCTCACCCACTGTGTTTTACAGAGACTGCTGGATCCGACGCTTCCCAGGTCTCCTAATTGACCTGGAGGAGTCTCAGAAGCTGGGGGCCCAGTTCTTGAAGTATTATTCTGAAAGCACTGGTCAGAAGTGCAGTCGGAGCTGCTGTCTTAGGAAGGATGGTAAGTGTCGATGATAGACCTGAGCAAAAATCAGGGGAAACTTCCAAAACGAGGACCTAAGAAAGGACCCTTAGGCAGAGGGTGCAGTGAACAGTTGACGGGGACTAGAGAAGATGCCCTGGGATGAGGCAGTGGGCAGAGAGGGAGAGACACGGAGACTGGTTTTGCAGCTGGGGCCAGTGCAGGCTCCATTTACAAACCTAGTAATGACCCGGGAGGCTATGAACCTACAGGTAACAGAGAACCTCTTCTCTTCACTAAAGTGCTAAATGAAAATATTGCCTTGAGGGCTGGCTAACAATATTTCTATAGCCCAGAATATATAGCATATATGATTTCAAAAATATTTCCTCTTCAAGGTTCTTTTGGTGATATTGGTATCGTATCACACTTTTGAAATGTGCTTGCTTGGGTTGAGCAAGTGTGGGGATGTACTGAACAGGAATTTAGATTGTGATTCATGTTTTGAAAGAAACAGGGAAATATATGTCAACTAGAAAAAGAGGAAAGGAGGGAGAGAGAGAGAAAGAAAGAGAGAATGAGAGAGAGAGAAAGTTAGTTTTCAAAATATCCTAACAGAATTTTTTTCTTTTTGATCTGAAATCTGGATTCAGGGTTAAGTATCATTCATATAATATAATCAAGGCCTATAACTAGGAAAACATTTCATTGTTGCAGAATTTCAAGTTACATTTGATTAAAGACTTCATTTATTTTTCATTTTTCCAAGATTTGAAAGCTACTTGGAAAGAAACAACAAAAGCAACACAGCACTTCAAAGTAATTCTCTTGTTGTTCCGCACTTTCTTCCCGTGATTTCTTACCGACATTAATTGCCAATGCCTCCTATCCAATTATCCATGTAAGATTTCTGGGATGCAAATTGGAGCTCCTTGGAGTCTAAACCGACTGTCAAGAGACCACAGCGTGAGAAGTTGTCACAGGCTTAGCCCTCAAAAGTTAATCAGGCACAGAAGAGAGCAATTAATTTATTAAAGGGAAATTTTGGAAAAGGTAGCAAATCTAGATATTCTGCTTTCAGATGCTTATAACCTCAGAAGGCTTCACTGAGAGGAGATGAGGGAGGGGTGATACCTTTTCAGCATTTTCCCGTGGCATGAATTTACCTGACTCTCCACACCAGGGAAGCTGTGGCCTCTGGACTTCCGGGGATACTAAAAGCATCCAGTAGAATTCCAGGATTTTAGAGCCTCTGTGGCTTCCAAGTTGTGGCTTTCTTTCACCGGAAGAAGAAGAGGCATGAACACACATCCCAGTTTTTACCTAGAAGCCAGAACTTTAAAATGCACAATCCTGCAATAGCTAACCTACTCAGAGCTGGGACTCTGAAATATGCATGAAGAATGTAAAAGATCTTGAAAAATTGCTCCCTACAGCATCCACTACTTTCTTATCAGAAATTCAGATGTCTAAATTTGAATATTCTTTCTTCCTTTTCCTTAAACTTTACAGCACAGTCCTCAGGGAATGTATTTGTAATCTATAATGTATTAGCAACGTATTATTAATTGACTTTTGTCCTATTCTGTCTCCTTCTGGAAAAATAGAGTGTAGAAACACGAGGTGTCCCAGAAGTAATAGGGGAGACGTAACCCCCGCAGTTAACCTTACACAGAAGCAGAGCAGGTTCTGCCAGCAATTCCACAGCAGCTGTAGGCACACTCCGAGGTCTGGTAATCGTACACTCTCCCTCCGTAATCTCATTTTATTAAAGAAGCTGATACCTTTGGGCCAATGAATATTTCCCATCACATGGTTCCTACTGCACTACAGCAGGAGGAAAATCTGTGCTGCACTTAAAGGAGGACAGACTGAAGATTTGCATTCAACAAATCTGACCTTCCAGAAATAACACGGTGTCTTTTATGGAGCAAATCTACTTAGAAAAGGGGAGCCGGCAATAGCAAGTGATGAGCCCCTCCCCACTAGAATCCCAAATGCTAACCACCTCGTCTGTCTACTTACTCCCTTCCTCTCTGAATGACACCGATCAGCTTTTCACTGGACGTGGCTCTGCAGCATGGGGCTAGCACGCACCTGCAGTCGGGGTCGAGGTAATGTTCACCCAGCCTGCTGCCTTTACGCCACCTGGGCCTCTCCCAACAACATGGGTCATTACTGTTTTTGCCCTTCCTATCACTCCCCCTTCTGTTACAGGCTTTGTCTATTTTTTTCCTCTTTCTCTCTCTGTTGAACTTCAGTGCCTTAGTATTCTGAGAGGGTATTGCATCTAGAAATCTGATCTATATAAATCCCCAGAGGTTTTTGTAGCCAATTGGATTTTCCTGAACATAAAATACTGGGACTGGGAAATGATTCCAGGTAATCTGTGTAGCATGGGATGTGTGAAAGATTACTGAGAATATTGGTAGCTATATATTATTTTTTTACATCTTTATTGGGGTATAATTGCTTTACAATGGTGTTAGTTTCTGCTTTATAACCAAGTGAATCAGTTATACATATACATGTCCCCATATCTCTTCCGTCTTGCAGCTATTTTCTTTTGAAGAGGGATTTTTCCGTATTCACAGAAGCATTTGCGATAGTTCACAATGTTCTGTAAGATGTCTGAACATAGCCCTGCAATGTACTGTTAATCCAGTGTTCTTGAAAGAAATGTAAGCTACTCAGAGCTCATCAAGCTGCAGAAATCAAGACCATCTGCAGATGTACTTTACCTGCTTCCTTTTCAGTTTCCTGTAACTTGGCTGTCTTCTTCCACGACCCTATTCATGGCGATGTCAACTGCCTCCATATTCACTGCCCAACCCTGGAGAGCTGCATATTGGAGCCCGGAACCAGCGCCATTTTATACAACATAACAGACGGTAATGATTTATGTCCTTTGTATGTATTTTGAAGAATGTCAGTAATATTTTAGTAGAGGCATAAAACCTAGAAATTGGTTGGCAGTAGCCATGTATGAATCTAAATCATTATTTCCCAGTGAACTCTGTCTGGAAAAGTTTGGGGTTTCCAGGGCAGAAAACTAAAAGGGAATTCCCATTCATTTGGCATGTTCAGCAAGGATGAGTTCATCCCAGAAAACAAATCATATGTGACTGAACAAGAGCATTGTATTTCATTTATTCCAAGAGCCTTCAGCAAGAACCAAAATAGGTATTTCTACTGTAGTGGTTAAGGATACCACCAGGAAATAAAGAAAATGCAGTCAGGGTAATGTTATATCTGGACAGGGTGACTGTAGTTGCAGTGTAGAGGAGGGATGGTTGCTAGCATACTGGGAAGGGCTTGGATAGCACTTAGTTGCTTTTTGGATAAAGAAGAAAACTGAGGATTCAAAAATCCCTTTGCAGTGCAGAGTCCAGCATGGGTGACAGAAGAGTGATGATGCCGCTGAAAAAGACAAAGAGGCAGACCAGATGATGGTTTTGAGAATGCCAGCGGTGATGTGAGATGTTTAGGTGGGAGCCTCCAGTAGAGCACAGGAGAACTGAGATCAGAGCTCAAGAAAGAGGAAAAAGTTGGGGATGTGGATTTCAGGGCCATCAATGTAGTGGTGACAGCTGATGAGGATAATCTCTTGGTGACTGGGGGTGGGAGGGTGGTTGTTATGGGATGACGAGAAACACAGCAGAAAACCAAGGACTAAAGACTAAAGATTATCGGACAATCAGACCAAGGAGAGAACCAGCACAAAGGAAGGGAAAAGCGAGAGGCAGGCAGCCTGAGATAAAGTGCCAAAGGAATTTGGGGTCCAGGGAGTCACGGGAGAAGAATGCAAGGAGAGGTGGCCATCAGTATCAAGAACAAGTGAGAAGCCAAAGCAATGAGATACAGTGATCAGGAAATAGGGAAAGTACTGATCACCCCAGAAGCAGAATTGGCAGAATAGTGAGGGTGGAAACAAAATGACAGACGGCACAAAACAAAGTCAGAAAGGAAAGCAAGGGAGTAGGTGGTGGTGTGTTGAGAGTGAGAGCACGCTCAAGAGAGACTGAAAGGGAAACAGTGTGACAACTGTAAAGCTGTTGAGAGTTTTTGAAGCCAGAGGGAAAGGAGTTTTACAAGAAGAGAGAGAACACTGAAGGCCCTCAGGCACTGGACCCTCAGGCACTGGGAAGGGATGAGATTTAGGGCTCTGCTAATAATTTTGAATAGTTACACTTCTCAGGCCCCTTTTTGTTTGACTTTAATTGTCATACATATCAAATGGTTACTGTTTCTGCAGCTCTTGCCCAATACTGCTTATTGTTGCGCAAAAGCCCTGGCAGTTTTCTCCTCGATGTGATGTAGCCAAGTTCGTTTGCAACAGAAAGTGTCTTAGAAAGTTAAGAAAAATTCAAACATGGCTAGTATGTTTCTAAGCCTTTCAGAAGTAGGCAGTGGTGGAACTTGAAATTAGCTTAGTTCAGTAACTTATAGTGGCAAAATCCAAAACTTCTCCAAACTGTACTTTAAGGTCCTGTCTTCTAAATTAAAAATAAAATTTAAATGATGCCTTATTTATATTTCAGGTGTAGATCCAGATTTGCTGGTTTTTGAACAATCACTGCCCACATATCTAAACACCCGTTATTCATCTAACATACGGGAGAGACTAAGGATTCTAAAAGCTATGTATTTAGATAAACAACAAACGACCATGATAAACCAAATGCTACCATCAGTAGAGGCTCCATCTTCAACCACATATCAAGATTTGTTTGCAACCACAAATAATACTAGGTATTCCAAGGAATTAACCACAGACTCTTGGGCAAGATTCATTTCTCTGAATGACTCCATTACCACAAACGTAAATATGGTGTCAGCCAGTACCAAGTTCATCAACAATCCAGATAACAAGACTATTTCTCCTTTCTTTGTGCCTATAGACACAAAACTTTCTCATGTGCCTATTCCATCCCAACTCAACAGTAGCAAACAATTACTGAACAAAACCAAAGGGTACAACAGCAGAAACCGTACATCTGAGAATGAAGACACAACACCTGATGGGGCACCTGTGACTTCCAAGACGTGGTTGGTTCCTGTGGTCCTCTGCACCTCTGTCACCTTTCTCTGCTGTTGTGTAGTCATCCTGGCATCTAGATGCTGTCGAAAGCACCAGGGCCAGTATAAACTAGGACAGAGAAAGTCAGGATCCAAGCAAATTAAAAAATGTTCCATTCTGAAGGAGCGCTCTTAATGGTAAAGGATGTGAGCATTGTAAGCTTTTAAGAGTATCATTTGTAGTTTTCTGTAAGACGAGGGCAGTTTGGTTAAAAAAATTAAAATAAAAAGCACAGATACCCATTCTTACCAATCATCTCTAAAGAATGCCAATGTTTGATAAACATAATTGCTTTTTTATTTCCATTTTTTGAATAGTGTACCTTTTGCTGAAGTTCCAAAATTCTGATCTCTGCAGTTATTCAGCACCACGTAAAAAAAAGATAGTTTTAAGTGCTGTACATGTATTAACTTGTTGATTCCTTGAACTCTGTGAGTTAAGTATACTACTGTTAACTATTACACTGTTCTTATCACATTTTACAGATGAGGAAACTGAGGAAAGAGAGGCTAAGTATCTTGCCTAAAGTCACACAGCTAGTATGTAGCAAAGCCTGACTTAATAGGCAACATGGTTCAAAAGTCCATGCTCAAAATCACTGTTGGACTACAATCTTCCATTTTCTCAATGAGTATGGAAAAAAGATACAGGGAGGAAAACACCATAACATCATATTTGGTTCCTGTCAAGGTCATATTATTGTCACATATTTTAATGAAATCTTTTAGTGGCTTGAGCAAAAAAGCACTATAAACGATTACAGTTACTAACCCATGAGCAAAAGCTTCCTGATTTTTAAATAATTTTTTACGTTCAATTGATTAATCTTTCTCAATCTTAATCGATCATCTTCTTTTTCAAAAACTGACATGCCTCTCAATAATTATGGCACTAAGATCTTTGAGTTTTCTGTTGACTTCTGTTGAATAAATCTTGGGAGTTTTAGTTTATGGCCCTCAGTTGTATAAATTGTTTTCCCAGGTGCAAATATTAGCTCTAGGTATTTCAAGCTCTGTCCACTTACACCAGATTCACCCCCTAAATCTTATACTCCGACTCTTAAGTGTAGAAAACTGTAATTCAAGTCTCTAATGATCTTAAACTTTAGGCCCTTAATCTCATCTCTGAAAATATTTTTTAATGTGAGGACATTAAAAGACAGCCATTTAAGCATAATGAATAAAGAGGAAATCCTATTATAAGATTAATGAAATAGCACTCTTCCCTCAGAATATTAACCACAAATAAAAGTCTGAATTTTAAAAATATAATCGATTTACATTAATTTGCTATTCATATTACATATCATAAATGTTATCAATTTCTTTCTTAATACATTAGGGAAAAAAACTCAGGCAATTTGGGGGGGGACAACAAGATTTAAATTACCTTAAAATATTTAAGTTATTCAGGAAGCTGTCTTTAAAAACTATTTGTATATACATTCTCTTAAAAGGTTAATTTTCTTTCAAATATATACAAACTGTTTTGAAGGTTTTCCAACTAGGGCTACCAAAAAAAAAAGTTTTCTCTTCCTTGGGATTTCTCAGAATTTTATTTGTTCCCTAAAATTGATAACTGTTTTATAGAAATGACCATAATTTGGGAAAAACATATTTGCCTTTTGTAAGAAAACAAACACACTCCTCTTCTTCAGCCCCTACCTTTGACCATCAGATAAACTGAGTAAACTTAGACTGGGGAGGCGACCTGAACAGTCAGCCAAGACAAAAACGACTGGGCCTAGAAACCATGTCCTTATTGGAAGCCAAAGGGACCAAAGAGAACTTCTGAATGGAATTTAAAACATTAAGAAACAGAGATCACAGGGCCTGGTCAATAACTAAGGCTAAGGTTGTTACCACCATTTAGGAAATAACCATGATATCGAAATTTTTCCAGCACTGAAACAGCCAGACCTTTGGGGGAAAAAAATCTGTAATAGTCCAGTATTATGACACATTTACCAATTTTGGAAAGAAAAAAACTAAAGCTCCCTACAATTAAGAAAACAGGTTTGTTCCATTTCTTAGTTCCCTATGTGTTTAAGCACCTTCTGAGCTATGAAATTTAAGAGTTTGAAGTCAGAAGTGATTGCATATCATCAGTACAGCAAAAAGTGTCCCCTAGAATCCTCATTGTAAGGATGAATATGATGTTCATTGTATACATTAGATCAATTAGAGCTTAAGGACAAGAGTCTAAATAATGACAAAAAATGCTGTTTAATTATTGCTAACATTACAATGACAGCAACGGTTACCCTTTTGAGGCAGTTTTGTATTAATCTTACAGCTCTAAGATTTTGCCATTAGGTGTCAATGCCACAGCCTTAGAGTCTTCAGGTCTTTGCTCGGAGTTAGCCAAACTGCAAAGGTTAAAAGGGCACAGTCTTCTACAAGACCACCCTTACTTGTGACACCAGCTATAAGTTTGGGGGACGGGGAGTCCCCAAACCACTCTCAGGTTCAATAATTCACTAGAGGAATTCACAGAACCCAATGAAAGCGATTATACTCACAGTTACAGTTTATTACAGGGAAAGGATATAGATTAAAATCAGCCAAGGGAAAAAGCACCTAGGATGAAGTTCAGGAGTGTTCTGAACACACAGGTTTTGGTGTCCTCTCCCCGTGGAAGCAGGATGCATTACTCTCCCAGAACCAATGTGTGACAGTATGTCCAGAGTATCGCCAACCAGGGAAACCTACCGGAGCCTCAGTGTTCTAAATTTTTATTGAGGCTCCATTACATAGGTATGACTGATCAATTACCTGGGCAGTTGATCTCAGCTGCTGGGTGGACTTACCAAGAAACTCAAAGCTCCCCAACCCTAAACACATGGTTAGTTTTCCTGGCATGCCTAGGACTATCAGGTGTAGCGAGCCCCACCTAAAATCCATTGTGACTGACTCCTGCCCTAACCAAAGACACTTCTATGAGGTATGACAGATTACCTCCCAGAAGCTGACGGGAGAGGCCAGATTCTCTTTGAGCAAAAGGTCAAATTCTTTATTATGTATCATTACTTCATCTGCTTCCATCTTCACTGTATTATTACTACAGGACTGAGGACCCTAACCTACCACCTCCTTACATGTTCCCAAAGGACAACCTCTCCTCAGCTTCTACTGTTTTCAGACGTGTCCTTCTTCAATCCTGTTTCCACACCTGCGTTTTCCTCAACTCTGACTCTCTAAGAAATGTAACACTTCAATACACTTACGTATGCTTTAAACCTGATCTAGAAATTCGGTTGTATCTACTTTTTTATTCGCTATTTCCGTCCAGTGGAATGGATGGAACTCAAGGTCCTATTGTTGTCCTTTATAACCTACGGACTCTTGGCCTTGCTAATACTAAATCATATCTTCAATCTATATAAATCTTTTGAACAATTGTTCTGAAATTCATTTCGGCATTTCATGTTCTCAAATTCTGTCAAGCAAAATAAGTTTTAGGCAAATAACAGCCTCCATAATTCCTTTATTTCAATTTTAAATTAATCACTTGTCGACAACTTTAAGTGGTAAGAAATGACTTACAGATATACTTAAAAGTACTGAATTGACAGCTAAATTGAATGAAATGTTTCTTAGGGCAGTTATTTTGTCATTTACTCCAATTAAATTCAAGGTCTTTATACCTCATCTCTTTCCTGAGCTGTGGAAGTTCTAGGTGGGGCATCCAGAGAGATGAATACCAGCTAATCTCCATTTCCACTTTTCTGCAAGCTTAGGCTTGGAGAAATGAGCCAAAGAAAATGGAAAGCAGGATGCTAAACAGAATTGAATCAACATAAAGTGAGCCCCAAATAAAGGGATGGAACAAACTTTTTAGGTTAGAAAATACTGCTAAGGACCTGCTTCTAACCAGAATCGGCATGTGCAAAAACTCACTAGGCAGATAGCAGTTATGTAGACAAAACACTGAACTTCAGTCAGGGGACTGGGTTCTGGGCCTAGCTTCCCAAATAACCAAAATCATTATTCAAAAGCAACCAAAAAGTACTAATCTGTAGG